GCCTCCCAAGTGCTGGGATTAAAGGTGTGCGCCACCAACACCCGGCTAAAATGGTGTTCTTGTAGCTAAACATTTATTCATTACCAATGAGTCTACTAGCTCAGTTATTGTATTTCCTTGTTGCCTGATCTTTTTTTTTTTGAGACAGAATCTGTCTTAGTCAGTGTTCTGTTGCTATGAAGAGACACCATGGCCAATGGCAACTCTGATAAGAGAAAACATTAGACTGGAGCTTGCTTATGATTTCAGAGGCTTAGTTCATTAGCACCAATGCAGGAAGCCAGGAGGCCCACAGCCAGACATGGTGCTGGAGAAAGTAGCTGAGAGTTCTCTACCCAGATATGCAGGCAGCAGGAAGAGAGAGACACTGGGCCTGGCTTGCTCTTGAAACCTTAAAGCCCGCCCCCAGTGACACACTTCCTCCAACAAGGCCACGCCTCCTAATCCTTCTCAAGTAGTGCCACTCTCTGATGACCAAGCATTTAAATACATGAACCTATGGGGACCGCTCTTATTCAAATCACCACAGGGTGTCATGATGTAGCTCAGGCTGGCCTCAAGCCCACACCAATGCCCCAACCTCAGCCTCCTGGGTGCTGATATTGCAGGAGCGTACCAACACATCCAGCTTAGCGATTATCCTGTTGCTCACTTTTAGGAATATGCTGTACGACATTTCGGAGAAAAGCCCATTACTGCCCTCCCACAGGCTTGATGCTCAAGATTCGGTCTTACCTGCATTGTTAGCCAGGGCTCTCTAGGTCCAGTATTCCTATGCTTCACAGGCTCCTAGTGTGGCTGAATGTTCTGAATTCTTTGTGTTAGCTTCAGGAGAGGGCAGTCACAATGATCTTCAGTATATCTGAGAGCAGCATGAGCTGTGGTCCTTGTCTTCCAGCACCGGTAAGTGCTTGCTGTCTAATTGGTCCTGCCCAGGGAGCCATCTTTTCCAGTTCGCGTGTGTGGTGCTGGTGTTTGTGGGTGTAGGATCTCCTGAGGACAGGTGGGTCCATGTCTGACATAGAAGCATGTTTTGTGGTGGTTTAAATGAGAATGGCCCCCATAGGCTCATAGGCTTGAGTAGTTGGTTGCCAGTTGGTGGAACTGTTTGGGAAGGGTTGGAGGAGGTGTCTCCCTGGGGATGCAACTTTGAGGTTTCAGAAGCCAGCACCGTTCCCAGTGTGCTTGCTCTCTGTGTTATCCTTGGGAATGGAGACTCTCAGCTACTGCTCAGTGCTGGGCCTGCCTGCCTGCCTGCCCCCATGCTTCCTGCCAGGATGGTCATAGGCACCAACCCTCTGGAACTATGCACCCCCGAATTAAATGCTTTCTTCCATAAGCTGCTTTGGTCGTGGTATTTTGTCACACCCACAGAAAAGCAACCAAGACATGTGGCAAGTGACGCTGGCGCCAGGAAAGAGGATTACAGAGCAATGGAAGGGACCTTTCCTAAAGGTGCTTATGCTGTGTTCTCTTTGGGGGGGCTGAGAGGGAGTCAGGGTTGGGTGGGAACTGGGGGGGGGGGCC